CATACTAGGTACATTGTTGGTACTGACGTCCCTTTTGCCTGGGGACGCTGCGTTTCATGCCCGCAGGTCCCGATAGACAGGTCGAGAGCCCTCCAAGTAGGCTATCAGCTCATTGGAAGATGTTGGTGCGCTCCATTTGCTTCGGAGTTGCTTGTTTGGTTAGTACAATTTAGACGTGTATTGTTTGGTATGGCAGGGTTCTATCCTGACCTTTATGAAAATTGTGTATTCTTATAGGCTCGTAGACAAATATAATGTACGTAAAAGATTATTTGGCCTTGTCGGCCTATGTTCAGTATACGAGTGGTTATTTTGGTCTTATAGGCCCGTATGTCTTATGTATAAGTTGGTATCACATGTTATATTCTACGTATCTCACGGCAGCCTTCCGGCTCAGTTATCTATGATAGTATGACATGAAAAGATACGTTATATTGGTACTCGATTGAGTAAGGTACCGGGTGCCCATCGCGACCCATCGGTTTGGGTTGTGAAAAATTCGAACGAGGTCAAATATAACCCGTGGTTAATTCGAACGAGGTCGAATATAATGTAGTTAATTTGAGCGAGGTTGAATTTAACTTGTACTTAATTCGAAACGAGGTCGAATATGATGTAGCTAATTCAAACGAGATCGAATATAACTTTTACTTAATTGGAAGCGAGGTCGAATATGATGCACTTAATTCGAGCGAGGTCGAATATAACTTTTATTTATTTCAAATTTAGGTCAAATATGATGTAGTTAGTTCGAGGTCGAATATAACTTTTATTTAACAATGGACGTGGGCCGTATGGGTGTTAATTCGAACGAGGTCGAATGTAACTCGTAGTTAATTCGAACGAGGTCGAAAGTAACTTATGGTTAATTCGAATGAGGTCGAAAGTAACTTGTGGTTAATGATCGAGGTCGAAAGTTATGTTTGTTTAATTGATGCAGCGTTGCTTTGGGGAATACATGGCTAAACTTCATGCACTTGTGCTTTGCTTATATATATTGGAGAAATTTATATGTTTTTCGGGCTGGCATTCCAGTCCCAGTCTATCTAGTCCCTTCATTGGTCGACCTGGAGAAGTATGGAGAGGTTGGGCGGTGAACTGATCGACCTGTGTCCGTATCTGTTCGCACTTTAACTTGAAATGTCATCCTTGTTGCCTCATTAAAAACCTTCCTGAGAAAATCCAATTGGGACAAAACTCAAGTAAGGGGAAAAGAGTACGACTCGGAGAACATTTTTCCTTAGAAGTTGAAGTACTTGAGGTAGGCGATGTTCCAGTTGTCTGGCAGTAGTTTTCCTTTCATTGTTTCTAGTTGGAATGACCCTTTGTTTGCCGCTGCCGTGATGACCTTGTATGGACGTCCCAATTCATTCCCAATTTGCCTTCCTACGGGTCTTTTCTTGTTGTGCTTTGGCTTTGAGCACATAGTCCCCGACATTGAACGGTTTGACCTTAGCCTTTTTGTTGTAATAGCGTTCTGCTTGTTGCTTTTGGGCGATCATCCTTATGTAGGCCATGTCTCTCCGTTCTTCGGCTTTGTCGAGCTCTTGCCTTCTGCTTTCATCATTTCTCAGACCGCTCTCATGGGAGTATCTCAAACTGGGTTCTCCGACTTTGACTGGTATTACCGCATCAGTCCTATAGACTAATGAGTAGGGCATTTCTCCTGTGCTCGTCTTTGGCATTGTGAGGTAGGCCCAAAGTACTTCTGGTAATAGCTCCGGCCATAGTCCATTGGCATCCTCAAGCTTTTTTTTCATGATGTTTAGTATCGATTTATTGGAGGATTCCGCTTGCCCGTTGCCCGCGGGGTGGTACGGTGTGGCGAGTATTCTTTTGATATGGCATTTTTCAAAAAATTCGGCGACCTTTTTTCATGTAAATTAGGGTCCGTTGTCATAACTAATCTCTTTGGGGAGGCTGAATCGGCAATATTGTTCCATATGAAGGCGATTACTTCTTGTTCGCGAATCTGTGCGAATGCTCCTGCTTCTACCCATTTCGAAAAATAGTCAGTTAAAACCAAAAGAAATCGTACGTTACCTCATCCCGCAGGGAGGGGGCCGACGATGTCCATCCCTCACTTGATGAAAGGCCAACGGAGGTGATCGAATGGAGGTGCTCGCCCGCTTGGTAGATCATTGGGGCATATATTTTGCATTGCTCGCATTTTTTCACGAAGTCAGCGGCCTCTTTTTTCATGATGGGCGAGTACTAGCCTGCCCGTATGAGGCATCTGACCAGAGATTGATTGCCGGAATAAGCCCCGCACTGGCCTTCGTGGACTTCTTTTAGAACACGTCGCGTTTGATTTATGCCTAAGCATTTTGCTAGGGGACTGCCATACGTCCTCCTGTATAGGTTGTTGTAGATGATGTTGTACCTGGCCACTTGCATCCATAGCTTCTTGGCTTCTTTTTTGTCATATGGGAGCACGCCTTCCTGCAAGTCCGAAATAATAGGTTGCGCCAGTCCTAGGTTATATTTATAGTCCTTACCTCGATTTGATCGATCTATGAGTGGAGGAGGGTGACCACGTTCCCTTCTCCGGTTATGCTTTTAGTGGCTACTGCTAATTTGGCGAGGTCGTCCTCTTCGATGTTTTGTGCTCGAGGGATCTGGTCGAGCTGGCATTCACTGAATTTTAGTAGCAGTTTGCGATTCTCGGCCTGGTATTATTGTAACCTTTGCTCTTTGATCTGGAAAGTCCCTGTGACTTGGTTGATGACGAGTTGAGAGTCACAACGTAGGATGACCTATCTCGCCCCGTACTTAAGTGCTAGCCTTAATCCTGCAATCATAGCCTCATACTCGGCCTCATTGTTAGTCATATCCGGGAATCTTATGGATTGGCGAATCACTTTGCCTGTCAGGACTTCGAGCACAAGTCCTATTCCGGACTCTGATGCATTAGAGGCCCCGTCGGTGTACAAAATCCATAGATCCTGTACTTGTGGAGAAGTGTGGGTGGCTACTCTTTCGACTTCGGGCATTATTTTCGCGCTGAAGTCGGCGACAAAGTGGGCTAGTACTTGTGACTTTATCGCTGTTCGCGGCTGATATGTGATATGATGCTTGCTTAATTCTATTTCCCGTTTGGCCAGCCTGCCTGATAGCTCAGGCTTATGGAAAATACTTCTTAAGGGAAAAGTCGTGACTACCGAGATGGGGTGGCACTGGAAGTAGGGTCTAAGTTTTCGTGAAGCTACGACCAAGGCCAGGGCGAATTTTTCAAGGTGGGGGTACCTCATATCGGCATCGACTAAAGTTTTGCTAATTTAGTAGATGGGATATTGCGTACCTTTATCTTCTCAGACCAGGACCGCACTCACTACTACTTCGGATACAACAAGGTAGACGAGGAGGCGTTCTCCCAGCTCCGTTTTGGAAAGCTCAGCGGTGATGATAGGTAAGCCTTTATCTTATTCAAGGCTTCGACGCACTCGAAAGTCCACTGGAGGCCATTTTCCTTTTTGAGTACGCCAAAAAACTTATGGCATTTGTCGGATGATCGCGAGATGAATCTTGACAGGGCAGCAACATGGTTAGTCAGTCTCTGAACCTATTTTTTGTTGGTTAAGTGTTCTGGTATCCCCTCTATATCTTTGATTTGGTTGGGGTTGACCTCGATACCTCGTTGTGATACTAGGAAGCCTAAGAAATTTTCCTAAGGTCATGCCGAATGCGCACTTTTCGGGATTTAGCTTCATTCCATATCGCCTGAGTATATAGAAGGCTTCCTTCAGGTGGTTGATGTGATCTTCTTTCTTTTTTGACTTGACCAACATATCATCTGTGTAGACTTCCATGGTTTTGCCGAGTTGATCATTGAACATTTTGGTGACTAACTGTTGGTATATCGCCCCCGCCATTTTCCGTTCTTTTTTTTCACCATGACTATATTGGCCACCCATTGAGGGTATTTTGATTCTCTAATGAAGCCTGTTCTGCAATAATTTTTCAACCTTCTCGCGGACCGCATCGTTTATTGTAGAGTTGAACTTTCGTCTAACCTGTCCCACCGAGGGGTGGAACGGGTCGACGTTGAATTTGTTTGTGGCAATTTCCTTTGGGATACCTGGCATATCTGCATGGGAAAAAGCGAACAGGTTTGCGTTAGTGGTTAGGAATTGACGGAATTTACCTGGTTCTTGAAGCTTGCACCCGATGTAAGCTTTCTTGCTGTGGTCGTTGTTATCAAGTTGGACGGGGTCGAGGTCTTTTATGGTTGATTTCGCGGCCTCCATCGTTTCGGGATCTCTGATGACGTTCTCCATTTCATCACAGCTCATCCTCGATCATGTTAATTGCTATGCCTCTTTTTCTTTGCCCTTCATTTGTTGGGTAGTCGTACAGTCTAGGGCGATGCGGTAGCATTCTCGAGATGTGCGTTGTTCTTCTTATATGCTGAATATCCCCCACGGGGTTGGGAATTTGACAATTTGGTATAACCTGGAGGGGATGGCCCTCATGGCATGTATCCAGGGTCATCCTATTATGGCATTATACGCCGTATCCTGATCCATGATGTGGAATGTTGTTTCCAGGGTGACGCCATCGGCCAGGACGGGGAGCGTGATTTCTCTTGATATTTGTTCAACTGCATTGTTAAAACCTGTTAGCGTGATGTAGCGTGGAACTACCTTATCCTCGAGTTTCATCTATGCAAGTACTCGAGGGTGGATAATGCACGCACCGCTCCCATCGTCCACCATAATGCGTCTTACATCTGTATCTAATAATCGTAAAGTAATAACAAGGGCATCATAGTGAGGGAAAATAAAACCATGGGTATATGACTTATCGAAGATGATACTTTCTTCGAGTTCGTCATACTGTTCATGAGTGAACGACCGCTTGAGTTTATGGGTTGTGGTGAATTTTACGCTGTTGATTGACGCGTCGCCGCCACCACCAATGATCATTTGAATGGTGTGAGTTGGTGATGGTGGTTTCGGCGGTCCTCGGTGTTCACATCCTCGGGCAAAGTTAGTCCTCCCTCAGTCACTAAGAAATTCTTTGAGGTGTCCTTGGTGAAGCATATTTACGACCTCCTGACTTAAAACGATGCAATCCTCAGTTTTGTGACCTCGCTCTTGATGGAACTCACAGAGGACGTTTGACTTTTTGGTGCTCGGGTCTGACCTCATCTTCTGTGGCCACTTCGCTTTTGGTCCGAGCTTCTCCAGTATGTAGACTATTTCTGAGGGTGACACACTAAAGTTATGAGTGGATAATAAGGGAGGCATACCTCTCTCATTCCGGTGAGTCCTTGTCCTCGGCCTAGATGGGCCCTCTTCGTAGCAGGAAGGGGGCATGATGGCGCTTCTGATATATGACTGATGTCTTTCTCTGAAGGGTCGAGGAGCTGCAAGATCTTTCCTAGCATAGTTTCTTTGATCCTTCCTGGATTCGGCCTGTACCGAGGTCAACCGATGGGTTGGCCTATTTAGGTCGTCTTCGTCAGCACAGACCTCGGCATAATAGGCGTTGTGTATTTTATCCCAAGTGGTTGGAAGATATTTCATAAGACGACTTAATAATTTTCTGGTCGCCCTCGAGCTGTTCCTGTTTAGCTCGTTTTGGAAAGCTATACAGCCATCCCTCAACCCCTCTCCGGGTGATTGTTTTATGGCAAATATATCGTTCACTCTTGCCTCCGTCTTTTTGGCCCCAACAAGAGCCGTTACAGACTTATCGGTCATCTATTCAAATGTTTCAATGGAGTGTAGGAGCAGTTGCGAGTACCAAGTTAATGCTCCTCCGGTGAGGGTTTCGCCGAACTTTTTCAACAAGATGGAGGATACCTGTTCTTTGGCGGTATCATTACCATTTACTGCAGTGACATAGTGAGTCACATGATCCTCGGGGTCGGTCGTACCATCGTATATCTTCAGATATGGCGGCATCTTGAAGGTCTTGGGTATGGCATGTGGGGCAGTTTCATCATTGTAGGGCTGTTCAACGAACCAACCAGCATCTCTTTTCGGCAAGAGTTTTGGGCACCCGGTACTTTGTCAACCCTCTTTTGGTTTTTTCTCATTTGGTCCCGAAGCATTTTGTTTTCATTTTCCATTTCTTCCATTTTTCTCAGACTGGCCGTGAGGGTGTCGTCACCTGCATTATTAACGTTATGAGTACCTGTAACTGGAGTGAGAGGGCCGTGTTGCTCGACCGTTGTTGGCGCGATGCAAGTCCTTGTGTTTTCTCTAGCCACCTCATGGGTGGGCTTGTCGAGGATGCTAGTCAGCGTGTTTGTCAGCCACGCCTCAAGTAATTGTTTCACTGCTGGTGACGCCTCTTCCGCTGTGGACGTGGACGCTCCATTATCGCGGGACGATGTGATACTGCCATGTAGAACGGGCGACCCCCCTTTCCTGGGAGAGACGTTAGGCGTTATATCTTTGCATTCCGTTTCAAAACCTCATTGATGGTGTTTAAGAGGTTGGTGGCGAGATTGGCTACTGCCTTCATTCTTTCTTCTCCGTTACCTGCCATGTCAGATCTGTGTGTACAACGAAGTAGGAGTTTTTTTTTGAACCGTGCTAGTCATAGATCTTAAAGAAACTAAAAATTTTAGCTAGAAAATTCCCACAGACGGCGCCAAATTGTTTGACCAAAAAGTGTAAACCTTTGATTAAACTTATTAATTTTATATAAGGAGGGGTAAACCTAGTTAATGATAATTACTTTGGATCTATAATCGGTCAACACGAATCGTGTAGAATAGTGGTGATAAGGGGCTTGATGCTGTGCGCATTTAATATCTCAAGATGATTAATGACGAGGGAATACTAATCAATAAATAGCAATAAATGACATTAAAGTAAATAAGAAGAAGAATTCACCCAATGTTAAATGAGGTGGATGATTCCTTCTTCTGACAAGGATGAATGATAGACAAATACTAGAATATTGGGACCCTTCTCGGATCTGATGGAAAAGAGTGGAATAATAGATAATTGAATCTCTTCAGAAAGGTAATGTTTGTATTTTCTCTAGAGAGAGTCTGCTATTCAAAGAGTGTTCTTGTTAGAGAATATTACATGCCTCTCACCTTATCTGTCTCTATGTGTTTATATGGGCCATACCCCCAGTCAACCCTAAAAGTACAAATGCAAAGAATATCAATAGAATATTCTCCTAGAGATCCTATTATAAAATTAGTCGTTACTATTGCTCTTGATGCTTGAGCTCGGCCGTTATTGACTGCTCGGCTATAACTCCCATTGTTCGCTAGTCGACCTCAGCCGTATTACTTTTCGTAACACTACTTCATGTTAAATCTCTTGAAGACAAATTTTGACCCATACAATCCCGTCACATTGATAAGGGCCTGATGTATATACACATCGTCAATGGTCAGTTGGTCACCTTTGAGATAACAGCATATCAAGAAACTTTTGTCCTTTTCATTTTCTATGTTGGAAAAGAATCTAAATTAGACCGTAGCAACCTTAAGAAATAGCACGTCTAGCTATCTTGACATATTTCCATGTTTCCCTGTGAAATAATTGTCTTAACAACCGTTCAGAATTTTTTTTCTGGTCGGATTTTGCTAAAATCATTAAGACTTTGGGAGGTGTTTACCTGATATCAAACTTATAAATGTAGAAGTTATAGAATATCGTCCTCTTTGGGTTATTATTGACGAACTGAAAATATTTGCAAGTTATAATAGACAAGACCATTGTTATACGTATTTGGAAGGAGGTAAACAAATGTGTAGATATTCTGGCAAATTCAGGCCACAAATGTAAAGAAGAATTGTTAATGGGGAAAGATTAGCTCTACGAAATCGAAATTATTCTCTTGGTTCACTTAAGTCATGTAGCTTTAAAAGATCAGAAAAATCTCACTTTATACCCATTAATTCTAAACTATTTACCTTTAATGATCAGACCCAAACTATTTACTATTCCTACCCATGGGTATAAAACTATTTACCCGATTTTTTCCTTGCCAACCATCTTTCTTTCTTCTATCGTCCAGTTATGGGCCAGTCCCATATACCACATTTTAATGCGGAATGCATCTCTCCTGTATTTCATCTTCAATTTTCCAAGATTTGATTGCCTCCCCCCTCCCCCCCCCCCTGACTATTCTACAATTTACATCCTATATTTTTCTTCTTCTCCTTCCAATTTTGTTCACTTTTGGCAAATCGCGGAATGAAAGTTAAGAGTCCGTTTGGCCATGAATTTTTTTTTTTTACTTTTCCTAAGAATTTTTTTACTTTAGTTCAAAATTAATTTTTGGCTATAAATTTTTTAATTTTCACTTGAATATAAATTTTAGAATTTTTCAAAAATTTGAAAATTTCAAAAAACTGTTTTTTAAAATTTTCACTCAAATCATTAAAAAAATTCAAAAACAACCAAAATTATATTCATGTCCAAACACAACTCTAATTTTTAAATACCTTTTAACTTGATTTTTTTTTTTGAAATTTTACGATTCTTATGTCCAAACGCCCACTAACTTTATGTTTAAGGTCGAACTAAAGTATTAAATTTAGTTGAAGTGCAACTTTTATGTCTGTGTATGTTCTTGTGATCATTGAGTTAGAAATAAATTCATTTATCAGTCAATTAGGATTATCTACTACTGCAAATTGACTAACGAAAAGTTAGAAAGTTATGCAAATTGTAATTATTGTTTATTACCTTAACCATATTCAAAGTGGGTGTTGTTAAATATTGCTTATAGTACCTTCTAGAAGTTCATACTGAAATTTGATAGCATTTGGAGCTGATTTGAGGTGATTGAGATCAAAATTTTCAGTTGAAAATCGAAGAAGAACACAACTACAGTATACAATATGCTGTAGGAGTATATAGCTATACTGCAACAGTATACTATTATAGTTTACAATATACTACAACGGTATATTGTAATAATCGAAGAAGAACACAATTACCTAACAGTATACCGCTACAGTATACAATATACTATAGGAGTATATAGTTATACTGCAACAGTATACTATAATAGTATACAATATATTATTATAGTATACTGTAACAATATGCAATATACTGTAACAGTATGCTGTAATAGTATATAATATACTATAATAGTATACTTATTACACGTAAATACACTTGCCTTTTCCCTTTTAATTTGCTTTAAGCTTTTACCCAGCGTGAGGGGCAAATTGAAAATGCAAAAATAAAATAAAATATTATAATGATATATAATGTAACGGTATACTCTTACAATTAGTTCCTTTTAGAATTTTTTGAATTTTGTATTGGCAACTGATATTATTTCAGTTTAATAAATGAATTAATTTTTTTAACTCTTTGCGTACAATTGTATACCCTGTTAGTATAGCTATATACTATACTGGTATCATATGTTAGTTAATATTTTTTTTGTTGTATTAGCTACATTTAATTGGTACACAATTTGATTTTTCTTTAGTAATAATATAAAAAAAGAATAATTAAAAATAGTGAAAACAGTAAATGAAATTAGATTATGAAGAGAAAAAGAATATAAAAAAAGAAGTTAAATAAAATTAGAAAAGAAAAAAGAAGAAGAAGAAAACGAGAAAAAAGAAAAGGAGAAAAGAAAAAAAAAAGAAAAAAGAAAAGAAAAGAAGCATAGAAATAAAAAAAAAATGGAGAATAAAGAAAAAATTCCCCACAAAACCTACTATGGGTAGGAAATGTAATTAGTTTATGGGTAAAAAAATAAATGGGTCGACAAGGGTAAATAGTTTTGTTTTTGTGGGTAACTGTGTCAAAACCCCTTAAAAGATATTAGTACTTCATTTATTCTATTTTATGTGAAGATATTTGTTTACCCTAAAATCTGAGTAACAATTAAACTTGTATTGTGGTTTTAAGGATAAGTAATTTAATTTAATGCCAACTGATAAACAAGGAATTAAATAGATAAATTAAGGAATAAAATAGATCCAACCAGTATGTAAACCAAATATTGACCTCGACTTGTGATAGTCTCGAGGTATGGTGATAGGAATAGCAAATTATGAAGCAACTCTGATGAACAGTAAATGAAATAACAATAAAATAATGAGCATATATTTTCTTATTAGAAAAAAAACGTCCCTTATAAATTAACGGGATCCCCCTTTATATAATAGGGGAGTCCTAGATAAGGTACACTTCTAATTACAGTAGGGAATCTTATTTGACAGCTATCTAATCGCCAAAAACCAATCCATTCCAAAATTTACGCCGTGATCTCCGGCCCGTTGCGGGTATCGCTCTTTCTGTTACTGAATCTTAGCGGTATCATCTCGAAGCATGCCTTCTTCTGACCTCGATAAATGACAACGACCTCGACATTGGAAAGGAGCTTCGACCTCGAGCTCGGCGTCCTGGCCTTCCGACGTGGTATCAGTTTTTCCATCGAAGAACGAAATCGGTTGGCCCCGATTTCCACCGTATACAGATAGTCCTCTCATTTCTTAGAATAAAATGATAAGAAACGACTTGAACCTCGATTTTCTGGAGACCCCAATAATAACGTCATCCCCATAACGTAAGCGCTCGAAGTGACTGAAACATCCCGTCGGTTCGGTTCCCAAACCATTAATGCTTGCCAGTGACGGTCGGCCACTAGCACCACCGAACAATTGCCGTGTACCTATAAATACAGGTTCTTTATTTGTATCAAAAACTTTACTTCCACCTTGAAATCTTCCATATCTCCTCCTCTCTTCATCTCTTCCCTTTCACAACCTGTTGATTCAACCTTTTTAGCACCAAAAATACCAAACTCCACCTCTTTCCGCTTCCTCCTACCTAAACCAATGGCAAAAACCTCCAAAACCGTCCCTCAAAAGGAGAAAACTTCCTCCTCTTTTTCCCGGAGGGCCGGTGATAAAGCGCCGGCCGAACCGCTCCTTCACGAGTACGTCTCGGCCCATGTGTTTTAAAGAATGACTTCAAAGCCGAGAATCCTCCGTCGGCCCCTGGCCGATGCGAGCACGTGTCGAGATATGTTTGCTCGGAAACGGAGAAACACCTCGAGGCAGCGAAGAGAGATTGTGGCTGGGGCACCGAGGTCGTGGTACAGATCCCCGCTCCCGAGGAAAGTATTACCACTCACGTGGAGGGGTTCTTAAGTGTTTACACTTACCCCTTCACACTGGGTCCTATCGATCCAGTCATCATCGATTTCTACAAGAGGTACCAGGTCAACCTCGGCCAGGTTCACCCCTTGTTTTGGCGCATAGTGATCATGCTCCGTTTCTTTTCCAGCAAGGCCAAGGGGCTGGAGCTCACCCTCAACCATTCTATTCGATTATATCGACCTCGACTTCTCTGAGGGTTGATCATGCTCCAACGCCGGGCGACCAAGGCCTTTTTTGCGAGCAATGACAAGGATAAAGATCGGGGTTGGATGAGCCGGTTCGTGCGAGTGAGGACCAACAACATCATCCTAGAGGAGAAATTACCGTTCTCAGAGAAGTGGAACCCCGAACGTAAGTGACGTTTCTTTTTACCCATTAGCCTTCGTACTTCGTTTCTGCAATATGTAATGCCATCATCTATTTTGCAGTGATCGCTTGGATGCCTCATGCAGCCCCTGATCTCGAAGACTGGGTCTGTAAATTGGCCTCGACTTCCTCCCATGCCGAGCGCTGCTGGCGTGACTTGGTAGGGAGCAGATGGGAAGCCAAACATCATGGTAAGTTTATCTTATAAGCTTTTGATGCCTTCCCCCTCATTGGAGATTTCTCTTTACTTATATTTGACTCTCCTTATCCTAACTTATATCTTTCTTTTCGCGTAGGTTTTCCCCAAGTTTAGGGCCGACCTGTGCCAATGTGAGGCCGACCTCCAGAAGACCTTGGATGAGAGGAACGCTTTGAAGCTCCTTTGCAGTCAAAAGGAGGAGGAGCTCAGGGACCTTCGAGCAGATTTGGCCAAGGCTCGTAAGGATGAGGCCAAGCTAGACAAGCAGGTAACTATAATTTTGAAAGAGTATGGTCTACTCGACCCGACTGTGGAGGCTAATACTTCAGTATCTCAGCTGCGCAAAAGCTGGAAAGGACCGAGCTGCTCCGAGGGGAAGTCGATCAAATCAAAGCTAACTGTGATCGATGGAAGGAGAACATGGACCTCCTTGTTGCGAAGAATGAAGCTTCTTTGGCCAAATTGTCATCGGTCGAGGTCCAACTTTGGGGTGCTAAAGAGAAAGGTTCAGCCCAGGCCAAAAGGATCGAGGAGCTCGAAGCCAAGCTCGTTGAGGCCAAGGCAGAGATCTGGGAGACGAATATTGCGACTGACAAATCCATAGCCGTGTACTTGGCTGATGACAATGCAAATTGCCAATTCTGGCTCAATTACTTCTACATTAAGACCGAGGACGTAGTGGTCAATGCAAGTGGGTTCCCCGAAGTTTGGAACTACGCCCGTAAGTAATCTTCCCTTCTATTTTATTATGTTGTGCCTTGGTTCAGCTAATTTCAATTGTATTTGACATTTCGCTCTTCCTTTGCGGCCGAGATCGAACCTCCACCCTTGGTCGAGAACATACACGATTGGGTGAGCCGGATCCTCCCATACACAGCGGGGATCCGTGAATGGCTGGCCTTCCGTAAGAAGTTTGGGCTTGCGCCTTCTGTGACTGGTGAGTATCTGTTTTTGGATAATTATTGCATCGTGAGGGTTGATCTCTTAATGCTTCTTCTTTTTGTTTTCAGCCCGGGTATCCTCGAAGGGGTCGAGGGCTCCTACTCCGGCATTCCGCCAAAATAATACAACAATGGGGTCCGCCCCTACCGTGACTGTGACCAAGTGTGCTCGGCCATCTACTTCAGTTCGACCATCAGCGGCTTCTGCACCGGAGACTCTGGCTTCCACCTTGATGCATTTAATAGACGAAGAGTCATCGCCAAGCGAGGAGGATTTTGTTCCTTGTAAGAGGAGGTCGGTGGACGTCAGAGGTGGAGTAATCGGAGAAGTAGACTCTACCCGGGATGATTGCGAGCCGACCACTGCCACGTTTGCAGGTGACATAGACCCATCGTCTGAGGTCTCACCGTTAGCGGGGACCATTGAGGGCACACCCTTACCTGATGCCGAAGTTGGAATTGGCGGGCCGCCTATGGAAGTAGCGGGTACTAGGCTTTAGGACGAGCCGTCGTCCTCGAGACCAATCGATGTTCCCACCACGTCTACCAATGAGGGAGGCGAAGGGGTTGTTGAGGGCGGGTATGAGACGGGGTCCGATCTAGATCCTATTGAGGTCGGTTGTTGAGCGAGGGGTTAACTCGTGTTGAAGTCAAGTTAGATGGGTCCTCGAGGACCACCGTGGTTCCTATGGAGTGGGATCTATTGGTGAATACAGAGGACGTAGTCCCCTCCTTAGGTCCCCTTTGCTCCGATGTGGAGGGCAGGACCATCGAGACATTGGATGATGCCGCCCTGTCGACGGGTATATCCGGCCTCACCCTTAGGGTATATTTTCCGACCTTTTTAGTTTTTGTGCCTTACACACTATTTTTTATTTGACTTTGATTTCCTTCTTTTACTATTTTTCTTTTCAGACCATCATTTTGGAGATTTAGAGTGCTGGCCGAGAGGAGAGGCGCAAAATCATTTTAAAGAAAATGGAGAGGAAGTACCATGAATACGCAACAAGCACCGCGAGATCTATAGGCGGTTTGGAGAGAGTGGCAACCTCTAAGCCATTAGGGACGAGCTGAAGCAGAAAGAGGACGAGTTAATGAGGGTCATCGGCAAGTGCGGCGTTCTTGAAGGGGTGTTGAGGGACAAAGAAGAGGAGATCAAGGTGAGCAAGGGAGGTTAGTCCCAATGTGCGGACCTTCAGGCACAAACGATTTCTCTGCGGGCTGAGCTCGAGCAATGTTTGGTTAGGGCCGATGCTTTGAGTGGCAAGGTTGCCAAGAAGACGACGAATTTGGAGAAGGCCGAGTTGGCTCTATCGGCAGCTTCGACAAAAGTGGAGGCTTTGAAGTAGCAATCCGTGTTTTCCGATCTGAGCGGGCAAATGATTTGTTGAAAACTAAACTTAGAAAAGAGCGGCTCAAAGAGCGGATAGAGGGGATAGAAAAAGAGGTTTCGAGCCATGGTGACCAGGTCGTCGTTCTCGAGGCCGAGAAGACAAAGTTAATGGCTCAGCCGTCCTCCTCTCACACCTTTGCTTACCCTGATGTTCCGCAGGATTATATGAGAAGTGGATCCACACCGAGGACCAACTGGATATATTTAGGGATTTGATGACGGCGCTGAAAGTTCTTGAGGCCGATTTTGAGGATGCTCGCGCCAAGACGCGTGCAGCTCGAATCGCTTGCGGCTACGACCCTGCTACACCAGAGGCCGGTGACGGTGAGGAAGATGTGGATGGGATTGAGCAAGATGCCTGGTACGAGGATAAGTATCCTTATGGCGATGGCGATGGTGGAGATGGCGCTGCTGGGTCAGGCGGCGAGTAATTATTTTTCTTTATGCTTGTAAATTTTGTGCACACTTTTGCGGGCGTCTGTATTAGCCCTTGTAAATATTTGAAGTATGAAGTGTTATTTTCGCTATTCGTATGTGATTCCTTTCCTTCTAGGCTTGTATGTTTCTTTTCTTTCTGCCGTTTGGCCGCTTTAGTCGTAGACGTTCGGTTTATGCTTGTTGAATGAGGTTAAAACAAAAGTTATTTTTTGTCGTGGCCGAGGGCCGGTAAGTGTTAATTTGAACGAGGTCGAAAGTAATGTAGTTAATTCGAGCGAGGTCGAATATAACCTTTGTCTAACAATGGCCGTGCGCCATATGGGTGTTAATTCGAACAAGGTCGAATATAACCCGTGGTTAATTCGAACAAGGTCGAATATAATGTAGTTAATTTGAGTGAGGTTGAACTTAACTTGTACTTAGTTTGAAACGAGATCGAATATTATGTAGCTAATTCAAACGAGGTCGAATATAACTTTTATTTAATTCGAAGCGAGGTCGAATATGATGCAGTTAATTCATGCGAGGTCGAATATAACTTTTATTTAATTCAAAGTGAGGTCGAATATGAAGTAGTTAATTCGAGCGAGGTCGAATATAACTTTTATTTAACAATGGCCGTGGGTCGTATGGGTGTTAAGTCGAACGAGGTCAAATGTAACTTGTAGTTAATTCGAACCAGGTCGAAAGTAACTTATGGTTAATTCGAACGAGGTTGAAAGTAACTTGTGGTTAATGAACGAGGTCGAAAGTTATGTTTGTTTAATTGATGCAACGTTTCTTTGGAGAATACATGGTTGAACTTCATGCACTTGTGCTTTGCTTATATATATATTAGAGAAATTTATATGTTTTCCCGGCTGGCATTCCAGTCCCAATCTATCTAGTCCCTTCATTGGTCGACTTGGAGAAGTATGGAGAGGTTGGGTAGTGAACTGATCGACCTGTGTCCGTATCTGTTCGCACTTTAACTTGAAATGTCATCCTTGTCGCCTCATTAAAAACCTTCCTGAGAAAATCCAATTGGGACAAAACTCAAGTAAGGGAAAAAGTGTACGACTCGGAGAACATTTTTCCTTAGAAGTTGAAGTACTTGAGGTGGGCGACTTTCCAGTTGTTTGGCAGTAGTTTTCCTTTCATTGTTTCTATTTGGAATGACCCTTTGTTTGCCGCTGCCGTGACCTTGTATGGGCCGTCCCAATTCATTCCCAATTTGCCTTCCTACGGGTCTTTGCTTGCTTGTGCTTTGGCTTTGAGCACATAGTCCCCGACTTTGATCGGTCTGACCTTTGCCTTTTTGTTGTAATAGCATTCTGCTTGTTGCTTTTGGGAGATCATCCTTATATAGGCCATGTCTCTCCGTTCTTCGGCTTTGTCGAGCTCTTGCCTTCTGCTTTCATCATTCCTCAGACCGCTCTCATGGGAGTATCTCAAACTGGGTTCTCCGGCTTTGACTGGTATTACCGCATCAGTCCTATAGACTAATGAGTAGGGCGTTTCTCCTGTGCTCGTCTTTGGCATTGTGCGGTAGGCCCAAAGTACTTCTAGTAATAGCTCCGGCCATAGTCCATTGGCGTCCTCTAGCTTTTTCTTCATGAGGTTCAGTATCGATTTATTGGAGGATTCTGCTTGCCCGTTGCCCGCGGGGTGGTACGGTGTGGAGAGTATTCTATTGATATGCCATTTTTCAAAAAATTTGGCGACCTTTTATTGGGGTCCGTTGTCACAACTAATCTCTTTGGGGAGGCCGAAGCGGCACACTATATTTTTCCATATGAAGGCGATTACTTCTTGTTCGCGTATCTGGGCGAATGCTCCTGCTTC